GTATTTTTTATTTAACAAAATTAACTAAAAAAAGAAATTCATAATTGCTCTCCTATACAATAATAAAATTACCTAAATTATTAATTGAAACATATTTTTTACACCCAAAAAACTATTAAGTAGGCCTCCTATTGTACCCTAATAAGGACAATATATATTAAATTTTAAATTTTTTTTTTTTTTTCATAATATACCCTAATCACATATACGTATTATTCATCTTCTTCCACAAGTTTAAATTGTTTTCTCTTATTCTTCTTCCTCACTACAAAATCAAACAATAGATGAGAATAATAATAAAAATTATTTTTTGAAACAACTCATCAAAGATGAAATAAATATTTTCATAAATATAACGATACAATTCTTGATTTATATATATATATATATATTTACGTAACAAACTCATCAAGACCAGGCTCAATTGATCTTATGCCCTTACCCAAAATAATAACACTAACAATTTTATCTAAATACTCTATTATATCTTCAGTCCACCTAGTGGAAGAATCACTGCTATTATTCTGAGAACAGTAGCTTCTGACAAAATTAGGTTTCTTTATTGTAGAAGATAGCCTAACTATATGGAATGCTGAGATGAAATCATTGGGCACATTTGTAGATGAATCAAAACTAAAACCTTTTGTAATGGGATGGACAGAGTTGAAAAGATATATCTAGGGCACAAAAGACCCAAAAGACGAATCATAGTGTGGTCCTATACCAGTTCATTCTGCCAAACAAAGTCAACATATTTGAATTTGAAAGTCCGAATCAAATAATATTGCTCGACATTATAAATCTAAACATAATTATTTTATTTTTATTTACGTGTACCTTGAAAGGTAAATTAGAAAAAATTATATGATGTACTTAGACTAACATAAAACCCTAAATAATTTGACATGATGTACTGAGAAATGAAGTACTTAAATTTTTTTTGGGTATAAATAAAATCCCCTTCGAGAATGGCATATAGTTCTTTTGTCCTTGAAATCAGTCCGGTCCAAACTTGTTGGGCTTTTACCCAAACAAGGCCAAAATAATGAACGGGCCAGCCCAAGTAAAACTGGGCCTTGAATTTGAAATAGTCCGGCCCAAGCTCATTGGGCTTTTACCTATACCAAGCCCAAATCCTGGGCAGGTTGGCTAAAGTGAAACTGGACATAAAATTGGACCTTGAAATTGAAACCCAACCCAGCCCAAAGCTTGGACTGGCCAGCCCAAGTGAAACTGGGCCTTGAATTTGAACCCAACCTGGCCCAAGCTCATTGGGATTTTACTCAAACATTGGCCAAATTCCGACAAGCCAGCCCAAGTTAGATAGAGCTTAGAATTGGGCCTTGAACTTGAAACCCAACCTAGCCCAAGTTCATTGGGCTTTTACTGAAATAAAGCCCAAATCCTGGACATGCTAGCACAAGTGAGATTGGGCCTTAAATTTGAAACCCAGCTCAGCCAGCCCATGAAAAATTATATATTAAAAAAAAAGGTGAAGAAAAATTATTTAAAAAAAGACGCAAATCAAGGGTTGGAGGCCAGGGCACAAGCCCATAGAGGCGGCCTATTGGCCCACTCATGCGTCCACCATGCGAGCTCAGCCTGCAGCCCAATCAAAAAGGCTTCACACATTTTCAATTTTCTACACCAAACAGGCCCATTGTCAAGTCACGGAAGAATGGTCCATAAAATAATTGTGCTGATCTCCCTCATGAGCTAAAATGAACGTCTTTCAGGTTTAAGGTTTGCCTTACTTGACCATTTGAAACATGACAAGTCACTCGAAAGAAGAAAACAATTAAACCAATTTGATTTACTTCCAAATTTTAAATTTCTTATCAAAATCTTAGCACACAGGGCATTTTATCCTTTACTTTCACTAACATCAATTCGTGTGGCAAACTGGTCTATGCCAGTCCTATTTTGCTATTTTGTAGTCCTAAGAATTAAGCCCTGCATAAAAACAGATGAAAAAAATAAATAAGCTTCGTAAAAGTGAAAAATTAAACACACAATTAAGTAAAAAATTAAACACATAATTCGGTTTGAATTGCAGCATGCTTGTCCATTTCATGTAATCAGGAAAAAAATCGATAAATGTAAACCAACATTATAACATGATATGGACACGAAAAAGCAAAAAAGGAAGAATCGAACAGGACAAACTACAAATTGTTACATGCCACCATTACAATTATGACTGATACGAAATGCACAGTTCAAATACGAAATGCAAATCTTTTCCAATCAGTTTATGATATGCTCTTATATAAAATATTTGTGCAATTATAAAACAAGAAATCATTATATATAGTAAATGTTAACAAACACTTCACACCTAATTAATACACTACGTATTGGTTTACTCTCAATGAGATGATTCATAATTAAATGTCATCTGCGGGATCAACTGAACTCACTGTGATCTTAAAATCTGATCTAAATATATCAATTAAAGAAGAAAATTCATATGCAACAATAAAAGCTGAGAAATATTCCTTGGAACAGATTATAGTACCTTGGGCCGCTCCATAGAGCTTCCAAAATAACCTATTCCAAAAGACAGGGAAGTGTAGGCTGCTGCAATCTCTATAGGTTTCAGCTTAGGTGAAGTCCAGGGAAGCTAAATAAGAAAGAAACAAATAGTAAGTCATTTTTTTTCCTTTAAAAAACCATTAAGGTTGAGGGTTGGGAGCTCTCACTGTTATAGGAGCCTTGGCTTAAACAACTAGAGTTCGGGCACTTTTATCAATACCGTGCTGGCTACTATCTGGCATAACAGAGCGTAAAACTTTCATGCAAGCAGAGCCCAGACCTGCCTGCGACCTGTGCAACAAAAATAATAACCCATGTTAGATTCACAAGCTGGGGGTATACATAAATGGAAACAAAGAACATGATTTTTGTAGGTTTAACACAAATAAATAATGAAAACTAAATACATAGAAGAAAGCTTTAAACTAAAAAAAAATCAGAAATTTACAAAAATATCCCGCTATTAAACTAGCCTCATACCAAGAAAATATAGGCCTTGTTTGGTTTGTGTTTCGCAAAAATTTTTGGGAAAAATTCTCTACAAATAAGTTTTCAAAAGTAATCAAATCAAACAAATTTTCCCAAAAAAATTTCCCAAAACTTGTTTGGTTTATAAGTTTTCCAAACAAATCTCTCTCTCATACACATCAAATCAATCACTTTTTCTAAAACTCTCTCTCAAAATAATTTTCCAAAACATCTTTTAAAAAAAACCAAACCAAACAACTTTTCGTATTTTTTCTCTAAAACTCATCTCCCAAACTCAAACCAAACATACCCATAATGTTCCTTGTAGTAAAAGATAAATTAAAATTGCACGCTTCTAAGATACAATTTTCTTTTTTCTTTTTTCTTTTTCTTTTTTTTTCCCCCTTTCTGTTGATTATACTTCCCAAAATAAAACAAAATAACATTTTTGAACGACGAGGATACATGCAGTGATGATGAGACACAGCACTCCCGAGCAGCAAATCCTTTCATTAAACTACTCTCCAGCACCACTAACGCAACAAACAACTATAAATGGAGCCCCAAATGGACCTTTTGAGGATGTCTAACAACCGGAGCCATACATTGCTGCTTATCCCACACGTCCAGTTATCCGTTAAAAATATTTGAAGAATAAATTTCAAGTTTAACTGAATAATGATCCATTTTAGAAATGATGTCATGCAAATTTCAACTTTCAGGTGTGAATTGTGATCAACAGAGGCATCAAATCTAAATAAAAGACAAGCCAGAAAAGCATTGAAAATGAAAATGAAAATGAAAATGAAAATGATGCCAAATGGGCCCTTAGAAACTTGATTAACTTCATCAAATGAACTGGCTACCCAATAACCACTTCAAGGTTTCATTCACAACCAAGAAAAGCATTTCTTTTGCGTGGTTGTTTGGAACTTGGGAGGACAAAATGTCATAGAGGAACCAAATTTTTTTTTTTTTTTTAAATCAAAGCCTCTGAATCCCCCTCCTCTCTCTCTTCACACACACACAACTTCATACACCAAAGCCCCCACCAAACCGTCAATGGCCACCAGTCAACTCCTCCCACAGAACACCAATTCGACCACCATTGCCATACTTGGGTTAATTAAATAAGAACACTAGAAAAATAATGATACAATTTAAGGAATTGAGACAAATAATATAGAAACTCTTTGCATATATAACAAGAAAATGCCACAAAAACAAAGCAGATAATCACCTTCAGTGCAATGCCACCATGTGAAGCTCCAGATGCTATATGTCCTTCAGTGTCAACACAAATAACCCCAACAGTGTCCATAATGCAGTCATCTCCACATTCAACGTACATAATTGACCATGATCTCCATTTGTGTTCAAATGATCACATAGTAGAACTCTGTTTGTGGAACACATGCAAAAACATTCATAAATTAAAAATAAACTTTAATAAAACAGCCAACCATAAAAGAGAGAGAGAGAGAGAGAGAGTAATTGATACTTATCATTGTAACATATTTAGTTGTGAATACCAAAAAAAAACAAATTGACATATTTAGCATGAACATCATTTTCTCTCAAAACATATTTTCATGAAACAAGTAATTGACATATTCAACAAGGGTAAAATTTCACTTTACCCCCCTCAACTATTGTCCCGTATCACTTTACCCCCTGAACTAAATATTGTAACACTTAACCCCCCTCATCTACTAATTTTTTTTTTTTCAATCTAAACCTTTATGATGAAATACCCTTTTATCTATGGGATAAATTACACTTTTCCCTCTTGAACTAGTATCACCTAATATCACTTTACTCTTCAACTAAAAAATGCTACATTTGCCACATAGATTTACAAATTTGTATAAATGTAAACAATTTGTTTCTTAGATAAATGAAAATTTGACATGTGATTTGCACATGACCTCTCAAATCAAATGCCTAAAATAACATCATCAATTTGTCTGGTTTAGTATTTAAAAATTGTTTTTGAGCTTTTTATTTTTCATATTTTTTTTGGTCTTCAGTGAAACTTTTCATATTTTAGTCTCTCTTTTATATTTTTTCTTTTTGTACTTTTTAAGTACATCTAATCTAGATGCATGAAAATACATTAACATACTAGTTTTTTGTTTTTCATTTTTTATTTTTTCATTTTAGTAAACTTCCTTTGGATTTCCTTACAAATATTTTACTTTTTAGGTGCATTTAAAATTTTAATTTTTTTTATACTAAAATATGAAAAAAGTTTTACTAAAGACAAAAAAAAACAAAAACGCAAAAAAGTAAAAACTAAAAAACTGTAATTGAGTTTAAAAACCAAAGAAAGTATAAAATTTTCTGGTTGAGGGGGGTAGAGTGATATTGAGTGATAGTTGAAGGGGGTAAAGTGTAATATGTGATGCGGGGGAGCAAGGGGCTATGGTACACCACATGATTGTGAATACCAAAAAAAATGAAATTGACATATTTAGCATGAACATCCTTCTCTCTCAAACATATTTATCATGAAACAAGTAATTGACATATTCAGTTATGGTACACACTTAATTATTGCCAACTTTGGGAGGAACGGGAATGTTCTGTTTAAAATCTAAATGGCATGGAATACCTGATACAGCAGCATCCTCTTGAGTGCTAGAAGAAAGTTCTCCATCAATTTCTGCTTTCATGGCTTCTGCATCATCAAGCATTGATTTGTATTTGTCCCAATGTCTTTTTACCCTCTCTGTAACCAGCCACTGTTTCCAAAAGATGCACAACAACAAGTATGATAAATAATTCCAGAATAAAGAACAGATTACTAAAGAAATTTAAAGCCAACGTATTCAAGAAAAAATATTGATATATAGGGAAATGGAAATTTAGACAGATAGGACAAAAAACTAGGAGAGTTTACCTCATCAGCCTCCAGTATACCTGTCAGCCAAGAAATACCCTTGGATTTTGCCCACATACGTGCACCTTTACCAACCAAGAAGCTAGGAAACACAAAAAATGCCTCATAAGAAAACAAAAATCTGAGGGAGAACAACAAATGGCATGCCCTAGTGAGGTACACTAACTCGTCACCAAGGATCACCAGTGTAGCCAAGAAAAAGAGGAAATCCAATTTGACATGATGTTGAAGTAAGAAACTAATTTATCAAAAACTTGGAATGGACTCCTCAATAAATCATTTCTTTCAAATTTTGAATTAAAGACCAAATGACTGTAACTAATTTCACCCATTACATTACCCTTCATGGCTTCATTTGATTTGAGTTTTACAAGCACTAAACATGTGTAGAAGGCAGATTCATATTCACTATTCACATATAGTATGCATTACATAACATCTCCAACAAAATAAAGTTGCACTACTCATAATTCCCAATGAAAAATCCACAAGACATAAATAATAAGTACTGTGACAATGCTGCCATAAAGAGGTAATTTGTATATCAAAATTCAAAGATAAACACAGGTGTAATCATATGTGGGAGGTATTTGACCCAGTAGTGCTAAACCCAACATTTTTTCCTTGGCCAACAAAGCAGCAACTTGGATACCATTCCGGACACCTACTAATTATTAACTTCACAGAAATGAAGAGCATAAAATGAAAATGAAAGCTCCATAACATTATCAAAGCCAAAGAACAGAAGAAATTGAAGCTCGCAACATAAAAACTTATCTACTTATTTAGAGTATGGTTTCATTAATTATACTTCAGGAATACCTAGCACCGCTCCAACAGCCCCAAATGCCCCATAATCACCATCCATGATACTGGCATCGCATTCCACGTGACCTCTTCAGTCAAATTTGAGCCAATCCCAGCATTTGTGCTTGGATCATCCTTTAAAGAAACAAACTTTATCAATAATGAAATTCACAATAGCTAGACAGAATTAAGAAGAGAAACACTACAAAAAATTTCCACTGCATTAAATGGCTCTTTCCACATCAAATAGATAGGAGGAATATTCTAGAGCCATATCTAACCCGCCCAACAACCCTACAACATCAAAGCCCAACCATCCCCCTAGGGCATTGTATTGGTCCCCTTAAGTTTGAACCAAACAAACGAGCCCAGACAGCCCATGGACTACTAGCTTATATTCTTCCAAACCAATTATTACACAGCTAAAATATCCTTGAACTATCCTGTAGTTTCAAATGTGTAATTCCATCTACCATATACAAGACCAAAAATTTCACAAAATACTAAAGAAAAGAAAAATCAATGAGTTTCAGTTAACTCTTGACATGACTTTAGAGTCCACATTGTAAAATTTCTTACTCTTTTTTTTTTTTTTTTTTTTTCCAATACCAAATTTTTCTCCTAACAAGACTCTGTTAGTGTCATTCCTGAACGTAGACATCTTGCCAGACCAGTTACTTGGTTTGCAGTGCTACATTACTTGGTGTGCTGTATAGCATAAATTGTATGTCTCATTTTCATTATTGCTTCTGTATGTAGTAGCTCTTCTTTATGACATGATGCTTACATGAATAATTTTCTTTTCTTGTAAAAGAACCCAACTGGTATGCAGTGGCTGTAATTTTAATTGATAATGTTCAAAAAAACAGGAACCAGAACATACATGGGGTGAGAACTTAAGACAGTGAGAATAGATAACTAAGAAATGTCTCAGTTATAGGCTGCTTCCAAAATCAAATCTTATTTCTAGTATGTCATCTTGATCATGGTTGCTCAACTGTTATCTTCCAATCAAAGTGGCATTATGACGAGCCTTCATTATGCAATCTTCATGTGAGCTCTAGGGGTCATTCTATTTTAATATCAACTCCGCACAACAACTTGTTGACTGCATTAAGTCACCAATATAGTAGCAATAAAAGATTCAAACAGGGACGACAGCATTAATGAAGCAGCAATCTTGATTCAAGCTAAGCTCAGGAGGACTTGGGTAAACATTTTTTTCTAGCAGACAAGATAATGCAACAATAAATAATCACTATAAGACAACTCTAAAGTCTAAATACAATAGTTTGAAAAGGAAGAGGAAGAAAAGGATGTTAGAGGCATATAATTCCAACAGAGATTCAGAAACAAGCCCTACAGCAACATATCATCCTCTATTACTTTGGACTTAGACAAAAGATCGTGGAAAACAAATAGCCAAGACAGGAAAATCAAGTCAATTTTTGTTCTAAGTTAAGGTTTCCTTTTACTGTTTTCTAAGGGTGGGCTGTTCTTGAAGTAAAAAAACAATAAGGATAATTGATGTGCAGATGAACCATTGCCAAGCACAATGTAGTTAAGAGGCATAGCGTGGGGTTGTGACTGATGAAGAGAAACTAATTTATTTTTTTCAAATTAAAAGTCGCTTTGAAAATAAATATAGAGTAGCTTTTGTCATTAAGATCCATAATTTTTTCTAGCATAAAAATATGAGTGATTTTAAATATTTTCTTTTAGTGAACCTGCGCTTGCATGGTAAAGCAAATCTAGCAATATGGAAATTGCTGAGCAGCATCCAAGAAAATCCTCTTAACACTCATTCTAATCTATATTGTTATATTAAAGCAACATCCCATTCGGTAAAGCCTACTTCCAAAGACATGTTATAATTTTTTATTTCCAAGAAAAGCCTCTCTCTCTCTCTCTCTCTCTCTCTCTCTCATGCTAACACACTTCTGAGAGCAGACCATTCAGACTTACAATGGTGAATGATGATTCTATTTATAATGCATTTTTCCTCATTTTTTAGCAAACCAAATGTGAGAATGGGCATTGTGATGAAATGATCATATTCTATTCCAGTAAACCAATCACTACCTTTACAACTGAAAATAGTTGGAAAATGTTCAGAATTCAAACAAAACGACATAATACATAGATTCAAGATATTCTAGTTTAAATTTCCTTTTCCTTTATTTTCCTCAAGATTCTCGGTAACCAAATGGAGGGAAAGAGAGGAGATCCGAAGGAAATACCTTGCGAAGAACAGAAGCAGCAGCGAGGCAGGCACGTTTCATGGCGGACCTGAGAGCTTTCTCGTTCGGCGGCACGTGAGCGCCGACGTGCACCGCCACGAAGAACCTAGGGTTCTGATCAGGGACATCATCCTCCTCGGCCATGGAATTTTGGTGAGGAGCGTTTTTAAAGAGGCGTGGAGGGCTGAATTCTGATTTAAATACCACCAGGCGCTGAAGGTTGTGAAAGAGAGCGTTTTAGTAGTGTGTTGTTAGCAAAAAGAAAACATATCACTACTGCCAAAACGGTTGTGGGACCCGCCACAAGCATTACCCAAATTCTTCATTTTATAAGATTTTTTTTTTTTTTTCCTCCACAAAATTCATAAATAAATAAAAAATTAAATTTATCCGATAATTATAGCATGTTTAATATATAACACTTGTCACCAAAAATAATAAATGATTTATATTTAAAAATACATCTGTCGTTAATTTTTTTGGTCATAAATGCAATAAATTTAATTTGTTACAATTAACATATTGATTTAATTTTTTATTTTTATTTTTTAGGTGATATACCCAAAGGTCACTGCAAAATGAATAATTTAAATAACCAAAATAAAGCCTACGATACATATAACACTCTCTAATCCAAATCTTATATCAAATAAAAATCCAACAACTCGAAATAAGCCTAAACAACCGTCTAAATCTACCCAAGTTGCACCCCTATAATTTTCATGCCTAGTGCGGTGCTTACTAATATTGTGAGAGGAGGTGATTCATGCAATTAATATATGTTATTTATTTTTATTTATTTATCTATGTGTTTTCATTGAAAATTTTGATTACTTTTAGTTCGAGAGTGTTAGGAAGAAGCTTTTTTGGCTAAAATAGTCAAAATGACAAAATATCACATCAAACTCATAATCATTTCACTTTTTCTCTCACAAATATCACATCTAATTATAAAAAAATCCAATCATCTTCCCAAACACTAAAATTTTAGTCTACTAAAATAGTCAAAAATGAAAATAGCCTACTAAAATAGCAACTTCCCAAACACCCACTTTGTGTTAAATGCAATTAAGGTGGGTTTGGTGGCTTAATCCGAGATGAGAAGGGTATTTGGCTTTGTGGATTCTTCGACAAGCTGGACATACGTACAATTCTCGAAGAAGAACTATGAGCAATTTACATAGCCTTAACAATTTCTTTTGAGAAGGGATACAAAGACCTTATCATTGAGTCCAACTCCACTGAGGCCATTAAATTGTTGAAAGTGGAATTTGTGTCCCAATGAAAAGCCTGGTAGAAGATGCAATGTTTCTTATCAGCAGATGCGGTTACACAGTGCAACATGTATTGAGAAAACGAAACAAGAGTGCTGATGGGTTGACCAAAATGGGTGCTAACCAAGATGAGGCCTTGGTAGTTATGGAGGACCCAATGGCAAAAGAGAAACATTGACATAGATATCCATTTAAAAAACATTTGGGTACTTAATGAAAATGAAACTGTTCCATCTCAACTTACAATATTTAATCCATTTTGTTTTCTATAGCATTTAAAACAAGTACAACATGTTTTATGTACAAAATCATTCAGAACGTTATAAGAAAATATCATCAATTTTATTTCTTTTGTTGATGGATCCATTTTCTTTAGTAATTGTCCAACTTTAACAAATGAAATAAACGCATGTGGATGCTGTTGAAACAAAATGAATCGACTTGATTGAAGATTTTAGATTTCTTTGCAAGTGGAACCATATCAACAATGCATTTGGTTCTCTAGATGCTATGGCAATAGAGAACTCCATGGTGTATTGAACTGCAAAAATAAGCTGAAATATAGGGCAGACTTGTGTGCCCCATGGTTCGCTCTGATTCATATATCTCATGGTCATTTCCTCCCTATTCAAGCCACATCCAAGCCCTTCGTTTAGTCCCAACAGTGTACCAAAAACTAGTTAGCAAAATAAAAAATGAACTAATACAATACAACACAACACAAGACATCACTATAGGGAATCAAACCTTCAATAACAAGTTACTGTCACATGGCAAATACCAAAAAATGAAGGGAATAACCAACCTGAAGAGAGAAGATAAAATTGTTACCTTGTAAGTTTTGTCTCCAAAGAAGTGGATTTCATGAAAATCATCCACATATCACAAGAAATAAGTCTTGTCCCAACCTTGAGAGAAAACTTGTTAAAACATGGAAGCGTTATGCCTAAACATAAATTCAACTGCAATGACTTATTATCATTTATTTTATCAGCTTAAGAATCATCAAAGCATAAACAAGGAATAACATTCATTCACATCAAAACTTATTTGTCCCCCAATGGAAAAGGTGAGGTTAAGGTGAGCAAATTTCTCGCGAAGCACAGACACCATCTTAGGGCGTATGTTCAGAACCTTACTATAATTTCAGTAAAGTAATTTTCAAGAGGTTCAACATCAACTGTGTTTCTTATAGAGACCCAAGTTTTAAACTTAATCTTAATCACAATTTAAGATATTGTACCTTGTCATACTTTTCATACTCATCCCATTCTTCCTGACTACAGTTTCGGCCAATTGGTGATACATTGAGCATCCCACTTCGGAACTCTATAAATGTTCCTCTAATGAAGAAGTTGAATAAGAAATGGACTCAGAAGCTTAACATCCATGGATAATTGCCACTCATGCTTGCACTTCACAAACCTCTTTATTGGAATATCCAAGTTGGCAATGCAATGCAGCGTAAAATTAATAAATTCTAGCAAATTATTTTAAAATGTCATATCCATAAACTAATAATGTACTATAAATGTTTTGTACATATATAGATCAAGCCTACCATCTAATGGCTACAACATAACTTTTTATACCTAAACTGAATTTAATAACAACAACAAAAAAAAAATCAAAAAATTTATAAACAACTTGGAAAAAAATGAATGTTTCTAACAAGAATATTGATCTGTAATCTTACTAAAGAATGGAGATAGGGGCGTATTTTATTGTTTCTACCCTTGATAGTGTAATAAATATATGATCCTAACTTTTCTAATTTTTTGGTCCCTTTGGCTTCTTGCAAATTGCCTTCTTTCTTCTTTTTTTTTTGGATTGGTAAGTTAAAGAAATTCGAACTTAGGTCTTGCCTAAGCTGCTAGAGTGTCCCCTTGGGGACTTGGCTTTCTTCAAATTGCTAATTAATAACAATGCAGTTTACTTAGTGAGTTACCGTACCTACTCAGGATGTAGGAAAGAGCAGGAGAAGGGTCTGACCTTAAGTTTTTCTTCTCCAAGGTATGATCTCAAGCTCTGCAAAATTACGAACCCAGGAAGAAATTAAAAAAAAAAAAAAAAGCAAAAGAACAAAAAATGGAAAAGATAACAAAGTGGACACCAAGTGTATAAATATGGCTTAAGGCAATTACAACATTCTGCAAAACGTATTAAAATTACAATCCATTGCTTAGGAATCTTAAGTTTTCAAGGAGATGAATTGGCAGATTTAATTTAAACAATATTGGAAATGTTAGCAAATATTTATTGTTTCTCTACCTTTTTCAGACCTAAAATGGTTCAGAAGAGAACCTACTTAATCTGTTGTATCAAGGCATAGCATTTTCCATTGAAGAAGCCAAATTATAAACCCAATTTTCCTACATTTTGTATAATTATGTCTAAAATATTCAAGACCTTAGTTGTTCATAAGACCTGTCTGAATCATTGTCAACATATTTCTAAAAGTATCATTTGAATCTTGAACTTTAGATAAATAATTTCGGTATAGATTTAGACAATATCTGGGTCCCAATGAGCTTTTTATCCTTATAGGCCACAAGACCATTTTCCGCAAATACAGAGTCACAATCATTTATAACTACACATATAGCGAACATGGAGTAAAAAGTCAAGCAGTCAACCACAATATTACTTCTAAAGTACTTTTGAAAGATAGAATGTACCAAGACAAAGAAGACTAAAACAGAAAGGTTAAAGAAAATGGAGCAGTAAAGTTTATATTGCATCAAATCATATAAACAATGTGATCACCCATAAGGAAAGAACATACAGTTCACAAGAAACATTACCTTGTTTGGTTTCAGAAAATTGAGTTTTTTGTTTTCTGTGTTTTTTTGTTTTTAGTCAAAAATTTTAATATTTTAAGAAAATTTTTTATTTTTTAGATGCACGTAATCAATCAAAGCCAAACAAGGTAATTGAATTTTCCATAATTTCACTTGAAATTTTCGGAGTGAAATTTTTTTACCTAATTTGAGACAAATTCACAAACTGATTAGTATACACACTGGCATTCTCCATTAATGTTTCTATGAAGTAAAATGTTCCCCAAGTGGTGTTTCCTACTAGTATGGGGTAACAAATATCAACTAATCATTCAACTTTGAGATTTCTCTTAAACAACTGACGTGCACATCAAACAATAATTAGCAAACAATATTCACACTCATCAACTTATTATACCCCAAATTTTTGGACAATAGGTCATGCATAAAAATGCAACACAATCTTTTCTATTACTTCCTAAACCTACCAAAGCCTAATAAAAAAATTAAAACATATTGACACTTATATTCTATCTATAAATGTAATTGTTGATGAAGAAATGAAACCTTTGGAAACTAATTAGTTCACAATGAAGAAAAAATTGCATCTTATTACCACATGAACAAAATTGAAATGTGAGGTTTGGTTTGGACAAACTACAATGACCTAGTCGCACATAAACACAACTAAAGACACCAAAAACTTTCCAAATTCTACAAGCTATTGCAGCAAACCTGAGTTCCCAAGCTACTCTGATATCTTAACAAGGTCAGACCCTCCAACAACACCAACTGTAACAACATGCAGTTAGATCAAGCTGTAAAGTTGTTATCATTATAGAAAACAACCAACATAAGCAATATTTTTCCACTTAAAAGAGAAAGAATGAACCAAAAAGGCCTTATGAAAACCACTCCACGTTGTATTCAGGGGTTATCACCATAATCAATGCAGTACCTTTCGAAGTTCCTGCATGAACTTCAGCATATCTGGAGTAACAACCTGAAATTGGAATAGCAAATGCAAATGTTAAATAAGAGGCAATTTCACCAAAACAACTAAAATCTCTGTATTGATCCAAGACAGCCTAAACAAATTAGATAAATATGGCAAGT